TATATATATATATATATATATATATATATATAGTGTCTATGATTTCAGCTGACGCTTCATGGATCCACCTGGAGCCTTTTCCTAGCATTTGCTTGCAGTAAATATTACAGTCCATTATCCCCTTGATAAGGGAGAGGTTTCGTTCATTAAGGGCTAGCTATAAACGATTGCAACGCCTTTTTTATGTGTTGTGTGGTTTTTTGTTTGTCGTCTGCTTGTCTGTTGCTTGTGTGACCAATTGATTGTGTGTTTGTCCGGCAACTGTTCTTTTGGTTGTTAGTTTTTGCTTATTGTCTTTTATTGCTGTTAGTCCATTTTGCCGCTGCTTTTCGTTTCGGCTTATTTATTTTCCGTTTGTTTTCTTGTTCGTTGCAGTGAGCACTGTCCTGCACTGTTTAGTTCTGCTCCTCTTGCTGCTGCTCCTGCTCCTGCTGCACGTGAGTGTCTAGGACTGTTGCAGTTTTGTCTGTATTTAGGAAGTAAAGGAGGCCGTGGAGTTCCCTCTGACTCACCCAGAATTCTTTGAAGACATCGGCATTGCGCCCCCGAAGGGAGTCATCCTCTACGGTCCCCCAGGAACAGGTAAAGCCTGCTGCTGTTGCTATTACTGTTGATTCTCATTGTGCTACTGTTTTTATTGCTTTTCCTGTCGATATCCCTGCTCCTGCTGGTATTGCTGCTACTGTTGCTTTGCAAGAGGATGCAACGACACCCGCGTGGTACTGAATATGGCCATGGTGATTATGTTCATCACGATTTTCATTGTGATTACTATGACAATCACGATGAGCATGGCTATCAGATTCATGTTACCAGGATCATCAATGTGATCATGGCGGCGATGAACATGGTGATAATGATGGCGGTGATTATTTGTTCATCAGGACGATCAGGATTACCCAGATCATTATGCTCATCCGGATTTTTAGGTTCCTGCTTAGTTGAAGTGGTGTGTGTGTGTGTGTGTGTGTGTGTGTGTGTGTGTTTGTGTTTGTGTGTGTTTGTGTGTTTCTGTGTGGGGGTTAATGCCAGGGAAGACGCTATTGGCGAAGGCGGTGGCTAACGAGACGAGTGCGACTTTCCTGCGTGTGGTTGGGAGTGAGCTGATTCAAAAATACTTGGGAGATGGGCCAAAGCTTGTCCGTGAAATGTTCAAACTTGCTAAAGAACATGCGCCCTCTATCGTCTTCATCGACGAGATCGACGCCGTGGGAACTAAACGGTAATGCCTACAGTGGCAGATATGCTTCACATGGCCAAACGGCCTCTCCAGCGTGTTCTTTCTGTCATTCGATCTCGATTTCTTGCTCTCTTTCATCCGTCTTCGCTTGAGTGCAATGCCCGGATCCATGCTGACACTCTGGCGATGCAGGGAGTATTTTTTGTCTCCCTTTCGGCTTTGTTCCGTGTCCACCTCAGAACAAAAGCAGCTCCTTTCCCTTTTTGCAGCGGTCTGCTTCATTCCGTCCATTTGCATATGCATGCACAAGTGTATCTATGTATGTATGAATAATATGTATGTAGAATTGAATGTATATACGGGCACTCCGTGTCTGCGTGTGTCTCCGTCTGTCTGTGTGCCTGTGTGTATGGGTTCCTTTGCGTGTTTGTTTGGGGTTGTTTGAAGTTATGACGCAACGAGTGGAGGAGAGAAGGAGATCCAGCGTACAATGTTGGAGTTATTGAACCAACTTGATGGCTTCGAGGCGCGTGGAGACGTGAAGGTAATCTTGGCAACAAACAGAATCGAAAGCCTGGACCCCGCCCTTATTCGGCCAGGAAGAATAGACAGAAAAATCCAACTCCCGAATCCGGATACCAAAACCAAACGGAAGATCTTCCAAGTACAGTTGCACACCACAACACGCGGCGTTATTTTCATAGGCTTGCAGGCGCTCGTGGCATTTTAAGAGGAAGTTGACCTGTTTATGTTTTACGCTCTCTTGGTCGTCCTAGAATTTGTTCGGTTGTTCGTATCTAGCTCCATTATGTCTGTTAGTTTTGCGATTTCTTCTTCCATGTGCTCTGATTCTTTCTTCTGGCTGTTATTGGGGTTTAACAGTGCACACAGGGCATCCAGGAAAGCTGATTTATGAAGTTGCCGTCGGAACCTTGCATGAAAGAGCGCAAAGCAACATCTGAATCTTTGGTAATAATGATTCGAAGTGTTTACTGTGCATTATCCATCTTAACAGGCATTTATCCGCATTGTGGTTTTCTTTTTTTCAGATCCACACCTCAAGAATGACCATGGCGGATGACGTCGACCTCGAGGAGTTCGTCATGGCCAAGGATGAACTTTCGGGCGCAGATATAAAGGTGACAAATATAACGATAAACTAAACGAATAGGAAGAGAAGATAAAGCATGAAAGACATTAAACGAGGGAATAATACATGAGGAAAACGAGAAGGAGAATAGACACATATCAAAAGTTGCGGATGTTGTTGGGATGATTCGTTTATCTCCATCTGCTGTCACTCTCACAAAAGATGGGCTGACCACATACAAATCAATAAATCCAGTACTCGCAGTATTATCTGCTGGCACCTTACTGCATGCATTCTTACACGCATGCATATGTGCTTGTCTGTACTTGTTCCCTTTTCTGCAGGCGATTTGCACGGAAGCCGGTATGTTGGCTTTGCGGGAAAGACGGATGAAAATCACACAAGAGGATTTGCGGCAGGCGAAGGAAAAGGCGCTGTATCGGAAAAAGGGGGATATTCCCGAGGGTCTCTACCTGTAATATATGGAATAGAAGAAGCATATCATCAAAATATAATGGACTTGGTTAGTGTTGCAGTTGTCTCCTCAGCAACAGCAACGGCCCATGAGGAGACAGCAGACAACAGAGCCAGCGCAGGAGACGATGAGTTTTGTTAGTGGCTGCATTCCTCTCTTCCGCGCTGTGTGTTATTTCTAATCTATTTCTCGTCCGCTGTTTCATAACTGCTGCCGAGGCAAAAGGACAAATGCGCCGAAGGCATAGTATGAGCTATTCAGGGGTGTGCCTACAGCACAAGTGGTAGTGGCAACCGATCGAGCAGTACAAGGACTAGTTCAACTCCAGAAGCGGCTGCTGCTTCATTTGCTGCTCGTGCGGCAGCACTCAGATCTAGGGTGCATTTCGTTGGTACAACCCGCTGCGTCTGTACGGAGGTTGAGTAGTGTTGAACAGAATATGCTTAGCATAGGGAGCCATGTATGAGGAACTAAAATAAAAAGAAGGCAGCGACCGAGAGAAGACCGCTGCCATTCAAACAGTTGGCGAGGCTAGATGGCGCCAGCATTAAAATGCCGTAGTAACATTACACCTTGCTTGCGAGGTGTCTCCAGAAGGCAGCATCATGCGAATGCGCCTACACATAAAAATACATTTAAGATGCCACAAAGAGGCAACGAGGCAAGCTGCGGCTGCCCCACTGTTGGCTGAGGATACAACAGATACACCCGCTGCTGTGCATACACTAGAGGCAGGAACGTATGCTTGAGCAGCACATAGTGCGGCGCAGGAGGGCATGCGCCCGCTTGTTTCTCCTAGAATGACCGCCTGCGGCTGGGTGTCTTGGGCGGCAGAAGGAAGGAGAGAGGGAGAGGTATACGTGTGCTGGGCGCACGGACGGATGATGAGGCAGCCAGCACCAGCAAGCCTGCGTGCACTAGAAGGGTTACGATACAGCCCAGCAGCGGTTATAGCCTCCTTTTGTATTCAGACGGAATAAGCCGAAGAAGCGCAGCGCCGCAGATACAGCCCCCGAAAGGAAGTGCGACCTCAGCCAGCATTTCAAGGAGGTTAAGAGCAGCTGCTTCTTTAAAGAGAACAGCTGCAGCAGCACCAAGTGTGACCGCTGGGTTGATTGGAAGGGGAGCTTTAGAGGCCATCAGAGACAATCCGTAAACTGCGCCAATAAAAGCAGCAGCTGGAGAACCAAAGAAATCGCCAAAGTCGGTACAGTAGGCGATCATAAGCAGCGCACTCACCCCCAAAGACAGGGCTGTTGCTTGCCAGTCGCCTGCTATAGAAGCTGCTGCAGCAGGGGCAGCAGCACCTGCTGCTGTTCCTACACGGCCCAACAGCAGTGCTGCTGCCGCCGCGCCACACAGCTGAAACAGCCACACGGTGGCGACATCTTTGGATATGCTGCGACTTTCACTCAAGAGAGCGCCTCCCGTAACGGCAGGATTGAGAGAACCCCCAGAGGCCGGAGAAGCCATGCGCACGATCGCTGCAGCATAGAAGGCGAATCCAACTGCTGCAGGCCCTGCTGCTGCTGATGTGCTGCCTTTGGCCGCTGCTGCTAGCAAGCCGAAACTGAGGAAGAAGCAGCCCACAAGCTCCGACATCTGGAGGTGCTGCTCCGAGACACGATCTAGCAAAAACGCAAGCCCTGCTGCTAACAGCGGCAAGAACACCAATGTAGCCAATGTCGCCTCGTTGGTAGACATGCCTGAGATACCTCTGCATACATTAGCACCCAAGGCAACTGCAGGGTTCAAGAAAGCAGTAGCTTCCCCGCCTAAGACGAAGGAACCATACATAAGAGCCCCCAGCCAAGGGCCATCGTACTTGCCGCCTTCGCCCCCGCGGATGTATGCAAAAGCGAGAGCAGCGCCAAACACCAGCTGAATAACCATCAGCTGTCCTGTCGGCGGTGCACCAACGGAAGCGGGAAAGGACTGAGAAGAACTCCCTACCAACACCGACAAGCCAAACGCTCCAACAGCTGCGCCAGCGAACTGGCAAAGAATCAGCATCAAACCTGCTCCAGTCTCCACCTGATTCCGTAGCACATCCACTAGGGTCAAAGCAGGATTAAGCGTCTTTACATGCGCGTCGCGCATCAACAGCAGCAGCGAGCCGTAGGTTAGGGACAGAGCAGCAGGGAAGTCCAAACCCTCCACCTTCAGAAGGGGCAACGAACCCGAAATCAGCATCAACAAAGAACAACCCGTAAACTCGCCCAATGCAGGCTTCTGAGAACTCATTTTATAAACAGAGATGTTGTAATGCTGAACAGCAATCGCAGGCGACGTAAACCGCCTTAGAAAGTGTGATAACGTGAAGTTGGATGGAGTTTCGGAAAAAATAATCAAAACGAGACACTGGAAACAAAAGAAGCAACAAATTAACCAAGTTTCAACACACATTGTTATTGTGATGGTAAACTACAACAACAACTCACCAGACAATTCTTACAACCACCGACCGCACAGCCACCCGCCAACCGTTCAACACCTGAACCGGCGCAGTGCAGCTGTTCACGTGTCGAGACAGCTGAAAGGGAGCAAATAGAACATTGAATTTGTTTTCTGTCATTTTAGAAGACTAAGATCTAACGCTATAGATGGAGCATATGCGCGCGCAGCACTTTTAGGTACTTCCTCCGCGTCGGCACAATGCACAAGAACCAACCGCGAGATGCTGGCGAGTTGGCAGCACGAATCCATTTCAGTCGTCAAAACAAAGTATAAAAAAAAATGAAATAAATTATTTGTTAATTCTTTTTAATGTTTTGTCTCAACTGTACAGACACCTTAACCATCGAAATCTAGAAACACTGCCTGCCTTCGTTGCAGGAGCACCTGGAAATCGAAGGCGAATGAAACCAATGGCAAAAAGAAATTACGTTGGCATTTAACAAGGAAACTTCATTTAACTATTGTCAGTTATATTTTATTATATGAAAACCTAGGTAATGTAACTGCGAATACTGCTTACACTAAGACAAAATGTAACAAGTTGCTCGTAAAGCTAATAATATACATATGTGTATATATAAAATTTAGCTTTACGTGTAACTTGCCACATTTGGCGCTCGAATATCGGTGAACGAGACTTAATTGGACAATACCGTAGTTGGGTAAGAGAGAGCGGGAGAAAGACGAGGGTTCTCGAGTTGTTGCATCTAGAGGCGTGTCGGGTAGGTGAGCAGAACTTAGATTCTTGGAACAGAAGTTCAGAGGGTGTACCCGACAGGACACTATTTATATAATATCTAATATGAAAGCATATAAAACATACGTATATACATACTGTGCATCGGTATATATTGTGCATATACACATATATGTAATATGTAGATATATTGGCGTATACACGTATACCGGGCCATAACCATGTACTCGTATATAACTAGATATTCTGTTTGAGACGGGTGGTGCATAAAAATGAAGTGGGTGCGGAAGCGGAAGCGGAAGCGGTTGCAGTGACGCAGTTCGACGCTCTTGTAGTTCTGCCTTGGCGGCAGGAGGGAAGCAAACACCAAAACACTAAGATAAAGAAGGAAGGTGGCAGCAGCAGGAATGTTAACACCGACTACTGGTGGCCTTTACAGCCTCTGCAAACAGTAGGGGGCATCAGCTTTACGCATGCAGACTCTGATTCACCTGCTTTCCTGCTCTTTCCCCTTTCCACCGATTAATGGCAACTAACAATCAGGCCAAAGGCAAACAACGCAGAAGCCCAAAGGTGTAGAGACACCTCACATCTGAGTTTGTGTTCCCTCTAGGGGGCCAATAATACTAATGTATTATTATTCATCATCCGCCTATCATCAATCATCCGCCTGCCTGCCTGTTGATGTATGCAGAAAACAGAGGAAACAACATCGTGGTATTTAGCATTAACTCGGGTTATTAAAAAAACCAAACTTTATTCTGGCTAGGGGACATATACCACCGCAGGGAAATGCTGCGCTCGCTTTCTTCTGCTCAAACTGGCTCCACCTCAAGAAGCCTGGGGAGAAAAGACAGAATAGTAACAGAATTTAATGCGAGGAAGCTGGGGTAGCGACTCCATTTCAGGTGTGCAGACATCTGCACAGCACCTCTGCTGACGTGCTGCGCATATTTCTGTTTTACCATGGCAAATATTACGAAAACCCCAAGACAATAAAACAATTTTCACCTTAACATACAGGCCCCCTGATGTTGCCGCTGGTGTTACTGCTGCGGCCACTTCTTCAGAGCAATGCTTCAGTTCAATCCTTTAGGAGACTCCTTGCGAGGAATCCCACGAGGTTGGTTTCGCCAACATGTCGCTGCTGAACTGCAGGCGGCAGCTGCACAGCTGGCGGCTCTGCGCTGTACATACACCCCCTCGACTGCAGTTTCCAATGCTCCGTACTGTTTCCCTTTTGCTGCTCTTCCATTTATTCTCTTCACTTCTTTGGAACTCCTCTTCTGCATGCGGATAGGAGAGGGAGCGTGTGAAGCTGTTCGTCTGCTATGCAGCCCCGCTTTTGTTGTTGCTTCCCCTGCCGCGGCTTGTGTTGCTTCTGCTGCTACTGCTGATGTTTGTTCCATATTTTGCATTTCCTTCGCCGGTATCTTCTCCCCTGTCTGAGGGGCCTTCAAGCTGGGGTTTGCCTCTCGTCTCTGCAAGTAAATTCGACATACGGCAGCAGAATCCGATGGTTTATCGTTCTGCGTTTTATGTCTCTGCTGCTGCTTTAGATGCCCAGATGGCCTCCTCAGAGCCGCAGAGCCAGCGCATGCCGCTGTAAGGCCGCTTTGCCAATTTATCAGCTGAGACCTGCTGCAGCCAAAATGCAGGCAGGTGGGAAATCCCTCCGAGGCATTTGCGCTTTGCTGCTGTTGGTGCTGCTCCTCTAGGGGCTGCTGCTGGTGCTGCTTTTCCTCCTGCTGCTCCTTCGACTGTTTGTGGCCTTGATGGTAATTCCGCCAGCACGGATGTTGGGGGGAACTGGGGTGGTGCTGGTGGTGCTGTTCTTTTTGTTGTTGCTGCTGCAGTTGCTGCAGCATTTGCTGCTGCATTTGCTGCTGCTGCATTTGCTGCTGCGGCGAGGGGAAGGTGCAGCTGGGCTGCACCCAAGAATCCTTCGGCTGCTGCGTGTGCGCAGCAAGAGCAATAAGCTGTCGCTGCATGACCTGCTGTTGCTGCGTTGTTGCAACGGCATCACACTTTGAAATGCTGCAAGGTGCCTCCACCTTGCAGCAGCAGTTATTGCTACCTTTATCGCAGGAGGGAGCTGCAGCTGCAGGCGGAACCTCTATGGTTGTGCCTCCTGTTGCTCCTGCTGCTACTCCAGCTGCTGCTGCTGCTCCGGGTGGTGGTGTCGCTGCTGGAGATGCTGCGCTCTGTGATTCGCTGCAAAGGCCTTCCCTCCACTGCTGCTGTTGCTGCTGGTTCCAGAATAGAAGCTGTCGCCGCTCTTGGAGCTTCTCGAACTGGTGCTGTTGCTGGAGCGGTTGCAGCTGTTGCATCTGTTGCTGCTTCTGGAGCTGTTGCTGCTGCTGGAGCGGTTGGACCTCTTGCATCTGTTGCTGCAGCAGCTGTTGTTGTCGTTGTTTCTGTTGCAGCTGTTGCTGTTGTTGCTGCTGCTGCTGCAGGTGTTGTGGCTGCTGTATCGGCTGTTGCTGCTGCAGCTGTTGCTGCTGTTGCCACTGTTGCAGCTGCTGCAGATGTTGCACCTGCTGCGGTTGCTGCCGTTTTAGCTGTAGTTTCTGGTGCGGCGGCTGCTGCTGGTGCTGCTGTTGCTTCTGATGGTGCTGCTGCAGCGTCTGCTGTTGCTGTGTCTGCGGCAACATTTGGTGCTGTTGCAGGCTTTGCTGCTGCTGTTGTTGAATTTGCTGTTCCATTGCCTTATGTTTGCTGCTGCTGCTTCTGTGAATCGCTTTGGCATTGTTTTTACAGGAATGCTGCTGCGAGTTTTCGTCGTCTCGAAGTACCTCCAGAGCCCTCTGCTGCGCTCCAACAACTCCGCATGAAGCAGCAACAGCAGCAGCTGCTGCTGCTTGTGGTCCCATTACTGTCGCAGCTGCATTTTCTGGTCTTGGTGCTGCGCTGCAGTCTAAAGCAGCAGCTGCACTGCTGCTGTGCGCATTAGGGAACAGCCCCCCACTACAGGGTGACCCACAGAGGCCCTCCACCACAGGCTTTGTCTGAGCTGTTGCTGTTGCTGCTGGTGCTGCTGTAACTGTTGCTGGCGCTGTTGTCTCTGGGGTTTCTGATGGATGAGGTGGAAGTGATGGTGCTGCTTCTGCTCCTTTCCAACATGTGAAGTTACTTTCTAGTGTGCCGCTGGTTTCTTGCCCCAGTGAAGCAGCGAGAGCCATGCACAGAGAGGAGCAAAATCCCTGAGCACGCGAAAGCGCCCCTGCTGCTGCTGTGGCTGCTACTGCAGCCAACCTGTGAACCTCCCGAAGCAGCACCCAGCATTCCCATGCATCCACTTTAGACAGTCGGTGGGCACCCTCTGCCGCTGGTGCTGCAGCTCCCAGATCCTGATTTGTTTCCCCATATGCAGCAACAGGGGCATCGCCGAATAGCTGAGGGCCTCCCGACGGAGTTCCCCCGACTGTTTGCAGCAGCGCTGTTATCCGCCGCTGCGCTGCAACAATAAAAGGCAGAAGGCCTGCAAGGGTTTGTGTTTGCTGCACCATCCCCGCAGCTGCTTCTTTCGCTGCCTCCTGTTGCTGCTGCTGACGTCCTGCAGCAGCGGCAACAGAAACCAAGTCCTGTGCAGCGCATTTTCTGCAGGTGCTGCAAGAGTTCGCTGCGGACATAAACAGCCAAAGGACGCCGGCTTCTACCAAAGGGGAGGCACCAGGTTCAGCAGCATCAAGAATAGCAGCATCACCATCATCAGCAGCACGAGTAGCCACTGTGAGCTGTGCTGCTGCAAGTTCGGCACCCGTGGGCTCCTGCTGGTCCCGTTGCAAGTATTTTTGCTGCTTCATTTGCTGCAGCAGGGCCTGTTGCTGGTGCAACTGCTGTAGTAAAGCCCCTAAGAGCAACCGGTAGGCGATAAGAGACTCTTCCGTTGGTTGCACTTGTAGCTGCTGCTGTAGCTCCTGCTCCTGCTGCCTTGCCCTAAAAGGCTGCAGCTCCACATTTGCTTTTCTTTCGAGAAATGCAAGGCGCCGGCAGAGCTGAGAAAAACATTAAAATGTAGCAGTGAAAACACAAGTATACAAGAAAATATTGAAATATACAACTATGCAAATAAGGATACAAATAAATATGCGTATATGCAAGTATATATAGTATACAAATCAACAATATACATATGACCAGACCAATAGAATGACAATGGACAAATCAGCAAATAAACGCATAGACAAGCAAAGTAGGAATAATCCAATAAGCAAGTGAACAAGTAGACAAACACAGAAACTAATTGAATACATAAATAAATAGGGCGAAGGACACGGCCAGGAGAAATGCCAGAGAGCAGTTAAAACGGAATAGTGACATACATACAAACAATGACAGAGAAAAGCAAAAACCCGAAAGCTAAGGCACAAAGCAAATGAGTGAAAGAAGAGACAACAGTCAAAGATAAGAGAGCTGGCCTGCAGCAGCAGCTTCTGCTGCTGTTGCGTACCCTCCACACCATCGACGCTCCGACTTAGGGTATGGGGTTTGGTGTTTAGGGTTTAGGGTTTGCACAGTCGTACATCCACAAGAAGAGACAGAAGACGCCGAACAGAGATGCTGCAAGACGAGGAGCCGAAGGTCTGTACGCAGAAAGAGAGACATAGAACAACTTCAGACACACGTGCAGCGTCAGCAGGTGCAAACGCAGCAGGTAGAACTGCAGTAGCAGGTTTGGAAGCAGGTACAGCTTCAGCTGCGGCAGAAACAGCTGCAGCAACAGCAGATGCACCTGCAATAGCAGCAGTAGCAGGATTGGTTTGAGGGAGATGGAGTGTCTAAAGAAGTGTCTACCAAATGAGCTGAACGTACACAGCAACGTGTGGCTGTGCTTTTTGTTTTACGTCTATCCAAGCATAAGAACCAAAACAGAGTCACGCAAAGACAAAGGGAGACACAGATAGTGGCAGGGGAAAATCTAGTAAGAAATAATTAAAAATACGCGACAAACAGAGTCTTACATCTGTTGCAGTGGTGCTGCGGCTTTGTCTTGCTGCTATTTGCTCTGCCCCCTTCTGTTGAACTTCGACCAGTGCCTGCAGCAGCTGCTCGCTGCAGCTGCTGCCCTGCTGCAACAACCCCGCTTGCTGCTCCAGTTCGCGAGCTGCTTTTTGCTGTTGTAGCTGATGCTGCTGCAGTTGCTGCTGGTTTGCTGCTTGTGCCTCCAGCGCTCTCTGTTTTCGCCGCTCTTTGGCGGCACCGCGCTGCAGCAAAGTTGTACAGTACGTTTGCTGCAGCAGCATGAGCTCCTGCTGCCACTGCTGCCGATCAAGTACTGCAGCTTCCTGCAACCGCAACAGCAGCCCCAGCAGCAACGGCAGCAGCAGCATTAGTGTACTTCTGCTGCAACGTAAAGTAGGGCACGAGTTGTCATGTATTGTGTGTGCCTCCAGTTTTGCCTAAAGAACAAAATTTATCCCTGAGCTCCATTCATGTGTGCTATTCCTGTTGCTGCTGCTGTTGCTGCTACTGCTTCTGTTGCTTTTGCTGCTGCTGCTGATTGCTCATGATACCTCCAGCCTTGCAACTTGGTTTTTAAGCTCTTCTGCCTCTGCTATTGCTGTCCGCGACTTGAGGGCTGTTTCTTCATTCGGAACCCGCAGCTGCTGCTGCAGCAGCAAACTGTTGTGCAGTCGATCGACCTCCAGCCCCGAACGACGGAGAGCGAAGAGGGCCCGCTGCAGCTGCTGCTGCTGTGCTGCATACGCACCAACCAGCAGCTGGTGCTGCCGCTGCTGCTGTTTCTGCTGCTGAGACATGCTGCTTTCCGGGCTCCAGCAGCACAGGCAGCCACAAGCACAGGAACCGCCGTTGTTGTTGTTGCTGCCTTTGTTGTTATCGTTACTGTTGCTGCTGCTGCAGGACGCTGAGCTGCACTGTTCATATTGTGCATGCAGGCTACTGTTATTGGCGCAATGAGGTTTTTCCTTGGGACTGTGAATTCGTGCTGCTGCCGCCGATGAACACGGCGAAGCTGTGTGCTGCAACTGCAGCTGTTGCTGCTGCTCCTGGTGGACATCTGTGTATGGGTGAGGAGAGGCATGAGGCGCTGCTGCTGCTGTCTCCTCTACAATGGCTGCTAATTCCTTGACAGCGATTTCTGCTGCTGCGAGGCGCTGAACTAAACCTAAGAACTGAGCCCGGCGCCGAGGTCTCTGTTCAGCAGAAAACTTCCTCTTGCCCTTCCACTTGCTGCTGCTGCTGCTGCTGCAGCTTGCGGTGGTGCTGGTGCTGCAGCTGAGATCCGGGCAGCAGCTCTCTGCTGCCTCCACTGTGGTGCGAACGAGCGAGCTTCTCCAATCTGACAGTCGCTGAAATACAGCGTCTTCCGCTGCTGCTGCTGCTGCTGCTGCTGCCTGCCGCCCCTTCCGCAGAGCCGCCCGTAGCGCCCGCTGCAGCTGCTGTTGCTGTTGCTGCAGCGACTTCTGCTCCGACAGCAGCATATGCAGCTGCTCCTCCCGTTCGCTCAGAGCCAGCAACAGCTGCTGCTGCTGCTGCAGAAGCTGCTGCTGCTGCTCACGGTGATCTGCGGCCACTTGAGCAGCTTCCGCGGCAGCACACGACTCCAACACCAACAGCTGCAGCAATACGCGCAACGGTAATACGCAATACCAGGAGCATAAACACCTACGTAAGCTTCTCAGCTAATCCCCGCAACGAAACAAATGAATCAATACATAAAACAGACAAGCAGGGATAGACAAACGAATATACAAACCTAACGGGCCAAACAAAGCTAAACAAGCAAGCAAGCAAACAAACAAGCAAACAAACAAGCAAGAAAGAGAGCAAACAAGCACACGCATTTAAAGAACCAAAGAAATTAGAAGGACCAAATAAACAAGTATACACAGTTAAGCAGTCAAACAATCGAACAAAATAGTAAACAGGCAAACAAACGAAGAAACGAAGAAACAAAGAAACAAACCAAAACAAAACAAAAGAACGGCAAAAATGTAAAGAGGGCAACGCAACAGACGAAGACGAACAAAGAATACAAAAAACACTAATTGTGGCATAAACGGCACACCTTTCTCTCTAGCGCAACAGTCTCAATCTTCAAATGCTTTGCTTTTGCCTGTTCGGCCACGCGCCGCGCAGTTTCTTCTTGCAGGGCCCTCATTAGATTGCTGCGTCTGCTGCTGCTATTTTGCTGCTGCTGCTGGCTAACAAACAGACGATGAGACAAACACACCAGACAGACACCAACACCCTCAAGTAGTTTTTCCCCTGTCACCTGTAGTTCTCTAAGCCTGTTGGTGCTGCCGCTGCTGCTGTCGTTGTTGCTGTTGTTGTTGCTGTTGGTGCTCCTGTCGCTTATTAAGGAGTTCTGCCCAAATATGGGCCAGCGCCACAATGCCGCTGCTGCTGGTGCTTCTGCAGGTTGCTGCAGAGGATTTGTTGCTGGGTGTGGGGTGCCTGTTGGGGTGCTTGCATTGACGAGACTCAACTCTTCTTTCATATCTCTCAAACTGCATGCGAGCTCCTCTACAGCCAAAACAAGCGGATCTGCTGCACGCCAAGCAGCGTCTGTTGCCGTTGCTGCTGGTGCTGCTGTTACTGTTGTTCCTGCTGTTACTGTTGTTGCTGTTGTTGCTCCTATTGCTGCTGTTGTAGCTGCTGCTTCAGCTGCAGCAGATGTTCCTTCCGCACAACAGTAATGGCAGGAGATAGGCTGCTGTTGTTGCAGGAGTGCGTTCGGACCGTGTTGTTGTTGGTTGCCTTTGTAGGGCGCCTGTTCCTGGATATTTTCCACTTGTTGCTTTTCCCTTGCTGTCTTGGAGTGTTTGCATTCTTGCTGCAGCTTCTGCTGCAGTTCCTGCTGCAGTTCCTGTTGCAGGTGCTGCTTCCACGTGTCCCTTTCGTTATTGGCAGCTTCAAGGCGTAAGCGCAGTTGCTTGTTGGTTTGCAACAGCTCTGCCGCTGTTGCTGCTGCTGCATTCGTTGAGGCCTGCAACTGTTGCTGTGCTGCAGCAGCAGCTTGGAGTTGCGCGTGCATGGAGGCGCTACGAGATAAGGCGCCCAGCAGCTTCTTCTCGGCTGCCGCTGCAGCAGCATCTGCTGCTGCTGCTGCTGCTGCACCCTCTTCTGCCTGTAGCTGCAGCTCCTTATTGGCTGATTCCTGTGCTATAAGCAGCTGGCTCTTCACTATCAGCTTAGCTGTTGTCTGAGCTAATCTCTGCTGTAACTCCCAGCAGCTGGCGCTGCAACTGCAGCAGCACGTGCTGTTCCTGCTGCTACTGCAGCAGCACCCACGATCAACGCGGCGCGAAACAGCACGGAGGGACTTTTTCTGCCTCCCTTTACGTTTTTGGAGGGCAGGAGCAGTAGCTGCGGTTGCTGCCACTTCTGTTGCAGGACTCAGGGGCAGGCCGCCTGCTGGCGGCAGCTGCTGGTTGTATGCTGCGATGTCTATGGCAACACCACCTCGCAGTGCACCCGCTGTTGCTGCTACAGGTACTGCTGCTGGTGTTTCTAGGGAGTCCATGAGCTGTTGAATATCTTCGGGCACCTCCAAAACCCAAAAGTCCTTCGACGCCTTCTGCTGCTTCTTTACGCGTTGTTGCTGTCTTGCCTCGCCGCAGCCGCTGCTGCTGCTGCTGTCGTTGCTGCAGCAGCTGCTACTGCCTTCACTGCTGCTGATACAGCTAATGCTGCTTATGCTGCTGCTGCTTCGGGGCCGTATTTTACGTGGTTGCCGTCTCTGGCAACACCTTCGAAGTCTGTCAGGTCTCCCTGCTGCTGGTGCATGTTTTTGCTGCAAGGAAGCGAGGAAGGAATGCTGCTGCTGCACTGCGTGAAGCAGCTCACTGAGCTGCTTGACTCGAAGCTGCGTGTCCTTTAAACGTCCCGAAAGACGGATACGCGTAGCAGAAGAGGCACGTGCCGCAGCAGCAGCCTGCTGTCGCTGCTCCTCTAAGTGCAGCAGAAGGCGGCTTGCCCTTTCTTCCGAGACGGCCGCTACTGCTGCCGCTGCCGCTACTTCTTGTTCCAGTGCTTGAACCTTGCGCTGCAGCAGTTCCTGCTGCTGCTCATGCCGCACCTGCGCAGCAGCAAAAGCTGCCTTCACCGCTTGCAGCTCTTCTTTCTGCAGAGCAGCCGCCTCCTGCTGCTCTAGAAGCAACTCATTCTTGCCATTTGTTGCTTTGTCCTTTTCAGGCCCTTCACCGCATCTGCTGCAGCATCTGCTGCTGCTGCTGCACACCGCTGCTGCTGGCTGATTGCGTGTGCTGTTGGAGGCAAGCCGCAGCAGCCGTCTGTTGAACGTGCTGAGGCTTTCCGCTGCAGACGGCCACACAAACAGCGGTGGACTCCTCCGCTCTTGAGGGGTTTCTTCTCCCTTCGCCCCTGTAGCAGTTTTCTTAAGGGGAGTCGGGTGTATACGAATCCCCCTCTCTTCACCCTCTTCTGGCTGATTCTGCCGCAGCTGTTGCTGCTTCAGCTGCTGTCGCTGCTGTTGCTGCACTGGTGCCGTAACAGGCCGCTGGAGCGGCTCAAGCTGCGGCTGCTGCTTCTCCGACACTTGCTTCAAGATTTGCGGAAAGAGCTGCTGCTCCTCCTCTACCTGCTGCACAGGCTGCTCAAGTTGCTGCTGCTGTTGCTCATAGTGCAATTGTTGATGCTGCTGCTTGAGCGCCTCCTGAAAGTCCCGTAGCTGCTGCGTCAGTTGCTGCTGCTGCCCAAGTTGCTGCGGCACCTGTCGCTCCTGGTGCTGCTGTTGGTGTTGCGACGGTTGTGCCTCTGTCTGCTGATATTCTGGCTGCTGTTGTTGGCTCTTCTCTTTTTGCTGCTGCGGTTTCTGCTGCTTCTCGTGTTGTTGCTTCTGCTCCTCCTTCGTTTGCTGCTGCAGCGCCTTCGGATGTTGAGAAGCCCCTTGTTTTGGCCCCCATAGCTGCTGCTGAGGGCAATCTACTCCCTCAAGAACCTCCTCCTGCTGCTGCTTCTGCTGCTGCTGGGTTTGCCTAGCGGTTTGCTGCAGCTGTCCCAGTAGCTCGAGAGCTTCAATCTCTGCCCGGCTGTTTTTGAGAGCCTCCTGCAGCAGCCGATTTTCCTCCTGAAGCTGCAGCAGACTTCCCCGGCTTGCATGTTCGGGCTGTTGCTGCTGTTGCTGTTGCAGTTGCTGTTGTTGCTGCATGTCCACTTCATTCGCTGAGGCTTTAGTGGCGTCTGTGCTGAGGGCTGAGGAGTCCATCGATCCAGATGAGGTTAACAGAAGGCCAGCAGCTGCTGCTGCACTTCTACTAGTTTTTAATGGGCCCTCCATCTTAAGCTCTTGTGTTGCTCTAGAAGGGATATGAAGGGTATCGGCTGCTGCTCCTAGTGCGGCTCCTGATCCTGCTGGTGCGTGCGAAACCTCCTCCGCTACTGCCGGATGCAGGCAGCTCAGAGGACGCTGCAACTCTTCAGAACGAAGGGACAGAGCACGCGAAGGCAAAAGAGATACATACGATGATGCCGCCAGGGAAGCATCCACAGCAGCTGAGCCCTCAGCATTCTCATCACACGGTCTGCTGCTGCTCCTGCTGCTACTGTTGCTGCCACTGCAGCAACTGCTGCTGCTGTTCGCGCTAGTTTTGCTCAAAACTCCAGGTGAGTCCAGCAGAGAGCTAGGCGATCCTGCAGACAAGTTAGGAATAGAGAAAGGGTGTTTAGAGCGCCCGACGCGAAGCCGCCATGCCCACACGGCAGGGCTTTTGGATGCTTTCTGCTCCAGCTGCTGCTCCTGCTGCTGCAGTCGCTGCATTTCCATAGAGGCCCACGGCTGTGGGGAAAGGCATAACGAAGGATTAACTGATAGTCGACAGTTGCTGCTGCTTCCGTCTTGAAGGGACGACAGCAGCAGCCCTTGGAATGGGGGGCTACAGCGCACGGCGTCGGCAATGCCGCTGCCGCTGCTGGTGCTGCGCCCTTTATGAATCCCGCCAGCACTATGTTCAAGGGGAGGAGTGAGGGAAAGGACGGAATGAGGGAGGCGAGAAGACAAACAGACGTTTTTTCTGTCAGTTGGCGGAATTTGGTTAGCTGGAGGCGGACTGTAAGGATGTGGTTGGGGCGCTGCCCTGTGGCGTGGCCCTCTACTGCGAGGGCTATCTGCACAACCGGTAGCCTGGACAGTTTCCGAGCCCTTTTGTGAAATAAATACTGGCACTTGTATGGAGCCTGCTGAGCCTTCAATGGTGATTATCTCTATGTGGTCTGTGGTGCAGTCATCTGGCTGCTGCGGCGCAGGCAACAGGCGGACGACGACAGGCAGAAAGACAGACGCTCGTGGGGGGAGGTTGACGTTTTCTTTGTGAACAAATACCAAATAAGGATTTGAACTCGATGCGGAGAGCTGTTCTGTTTCCTCTCCTTCATTTGTTAGGCAAATGTGGCGCCTGAGCCACCCGCCAGAGCGACAGCGCTGGAAGAATAATGGCGAAGGCCGTACCTTCAGAGTTCCTTTCACTCCTTTGTGCTGCTGCTGAGATGATTCACACGAGAAAAACGGAGAAAGGGGAGCGCCCTCGAGGAGGCCTTGCTGAGGGCCTGCAACTTCGTGCGGTCGCCACGCCATTCTCTTGCTTCTCCTCCAACATCTCAGGGTTAAATAAGAACACGTTAGTGTCTTGATCTAGTTAGCATTTGATTTCAATGGCTTTCCTGCTCACGGCTAGGGGAGAGGGACTCTTAGCAAAGATCGACCAAAGCCACAACGAAGGCATCACCCATTGTCAGGGTCACCCCGGCTGAAACGCCAAAGAAGGCAGAAGCATCCATCTTGCATTACATGCATTCATTCTACCGGTTTATTAACCATATGCAACAAATCAATTTATGCAGATATTCAGAAAATCCTGTAAAAGCGTCCTTCTCCCCTTTGCAGCTCCTCACGAATGCCTCCAACCGACATCCAGTCTTTCAAGCCCGATTGAAACCAGTCAAGATTGCCCAAAACACAGTTGATCCCTTTACTTATTCATTTTTTTCACTTGCACAGCCTCTACAGTATGTATATTTAATGTGTATTCCAAGAAACAGGGTCAGTACCCGTGCAGGACGCGCAATACTCCACTGGTGCCGCAGGCGCATGCAGGTTGCTCGGCGGTGTGCTGCATCTGCAGTGCGCAAAAGCCATAGTTGTACTAGAACTGGACTGCTAGAGGATCATAGGAAAGGGAAAACATGGAAAATATATTATTAAAAATGAATATAGGTACATTATTAGGGGAATACAGCCTTCAGACTAGAAATACTCTGCAGACTCACAGGTTCGTGTGTGTCTGCTGGTGAGAGTGGCGCAGTGGCGAAGGCTCTGACCAGCAAGCGGGTTACCGTGGGGATCGAAGGACACCACTTCTGCCCCCTTTTCAGGGGTAGCAGGCCTTAGAATATGCTTCACAGTCATTACTTCACATTTTAAAGCTATTTTAAGAGTAATTCGCCCAGTGGGGAGTACACACGGAGTGCCCCAGAGCAGGCATGTGCTGACTAGCAGAGCGACGTCCACTACCCTTGGGGTATACTCCCTTATAAAACAGAGGAAGGTCTTTGAACATGGGGGCGAGGTAACAATATGAAGTGCGAATGGACAGAAACACGCTGTGTACAGAAAAGTTATCTGACCAAGGCTGCGCTGCGGTCTCTCAGAGTCCACTCCCTGCTCCAAAAGTCGCTGTACCCAAGGGTATGGGGTCACCGCGGACATCGGAAGGCGCTTCTTCTTCTTCTCCGTCTCTTTCCACAGGTAATTGGACTTAGAATGAGAACCACAAACATTACTTCGTACTTCAAAGTGGGTAATTCGGAGGGTTAGGCCTACCAACTGTGTGCATCTGTGCTGATACGTACAGGGCCGAATGGTAGTGGAAACCTCCAGCAAGTCCACTGCAGCATCTGTGTGTCTCGCGAGTTCCAGAGTATCTTTTGGGTTTGCATTATGCCACAAAATTGAATTTAAGAAAAAGCCCATCAATATTTTCCACAACACACCTACCATTCGTAATAGCCATGGGGGCTGATTCAAGCGATCTAAACGAAGCACATGTGGGTTAGCCTCAATGAACATCCTACAGATCATACTCATTCTAGACACAAAAGATACAAACGCTGGATACACGGCCTTACGGGGATTCATGTATTTCCACGACGATCCCCCTAACCGCAGGCACACGAGGTCTACAGCTCCCCCGAAACAGAAAACAGGCCAACACTGCACCACTATACGTTCAGCTACGCGGATACAAAAGCAGACGAAACCGTTTTTAAATCATATGTCCCTTTGCACTCCACGTAGAGAAAAAGTGCTACGGGGGAACGCGGGAGGAAGGCGATAAACCGGAAGGAACAACACGAATAGGTAAACTTGCATATATATGCTTGCGAATATATGCATATGTCCTATAAATAATATTCTAATAAGCTGAGCATATAAAATACTATTAAACTATATATGTATATTTCTCCTCGGAGAATACTGAAAAGGCGAATTAATGGAGTTACATTGAATGAGGCAGCCGGAAGAAAACAAAGAACGCACAGCCCCAGAAAAAGGCAAAAGGAAGCAGTGCGTTGCGGCGGATAAGACCGACGTACGAGAATTGCTGTAGCGAAACTCAGGGCTGTTTGCAGCCTCCTTTATAAGTTCTAATGATTGCAGGCTGCCAATCAAATATGCTTAAATGCCTGAAATAGAGGCGTGCATGTGCAGACTTTGGTGGCCTCCTTTTGGGCACTATTTGTTAGTTTATTCTAAATCATCTGTCCACGGCATCATCAAGACAAAGGGAATAAAGAACCAAACAAAAAGTGCTGCACAATCGGCAGTTTGCACATAACCTCCCCCTCGTACATCCGAATCAGTCCAGAACATATCTTTTTCCTGAAGCAAAACGGAAGGAAATATAATCAATACCCTCATGGGTATCATTTGTCTTGTACCACTACACTGCATTGTCAGTCTTTTACTGTGAATGAATCACTTAAGAACTTCAAATGCATCAGAAGCCCCACAGGGTTCACGGAAAACACTTCATACAGCCGAAGCATCCTGTGGGCAACACCTTATGCAGAGAATCCAAGCCAAGTGTTTGAAAAAATGAAATAACTCGGGAATAATGACGCAAACTATTTAAAACAATCGAATCAAAAAATCGTTCGAAGTAGAGGACTCACCAGCTGCTGATCCCGCTAACGTCGTACAAGATGGGGGAACACTCAAAAAAGGGGGCGCCCTTCTTTGTCTGCAGGACGGCACAGCAATTCAGAATCATTGAGGCAAATAAAGGCACATACTTCCAGTTCTTAACTAAACGAATCCCAATCTCTTGAGATGGAAGAGGCAGAAGCCACTTTTTAAAGCTGTGCACTGACTAGGGTTACGCTCTAGTGGCATTGCTGCTTCTTCTGCACTACATTCTCCACCGCTGCATATCTACCGTAACTAACATCTGCTGACCTGCAAGACATATTCGATGGAGTCGAAGTAGAGAAGGTCTGGGGCCAGTTGCTGCACAAGGTCCCGCTCCATTATCTGCGCACCGTTCAGCCCAATGTACACATGTATGCTAATATATATATATATATAATATATATATAT